TCCGCCATCCCTCCCATCCTGTCGCATGCCACGCGCCCGGCGCCTTTCTATTTTCTCCCCGTGCCGTGACTTTTACCTGTTTCCTTGCATACACCGCTTCCCCTTCCCTCCGCCCGGGCACCCCGCACGCTCTGTGCCTGCTGCATTGCTCCCCGTCCCGCCCTCCGTACCTTCCCCTCGCCATATTGCCCCCTCCCTCGCGTCGTGGCAACTCTGTACGGCGCCCGCCCCTCTGGGCGTCCCGGTCGGCTCCGTCCCTGGGTCTGCCAGCGCTGTTTGCGTTCCCTCTCATTACCTCTCTTCCCCCCCCTTGAGCCCGTGCTCGCGGGGACGCTCAGGCACATCCTGGCCGCTCTGCCCGGCCTGCCAGCCCCTGTCGTCTGGCCGCTGGCGGGCCCCTTGGGCTCGCTCGCATCTTGTGCTTGTCTGTTCATTTTTTGGCCCCCCCCTATCCGTTTCGTCGTCCGAGCCCCATAACAGACACACATACGATACCACACTAGAGATCGTAAAGTGGTTCTTTCGCCCTCACACATATAGAGCACACACAAGCCCCTGGCCTTTTTTCCTCTTCACTTTCCTCCCACTGCCCCCGCGCCCCGCTCCCGCCGTCCGACCGCCCCCCTGCGGGCCCCCCTGCTTGTCTACGCCTCTCCCCCCACCCCTCCCCCCATCACTTGCCGTCGGTCTTTCTTCCACCCTTTCCGCCCCTGGGTCTGGCTTAGATGCTTGCGACCCGTGCCTTCTCAGCACCCCCCTGTCCCCCCTCGCTCCGCGCCCCTTTCCCTCCTGCGGCGCGATTTGCCTTGTCCCTGTTTCGTCCCTCTTTCCTCCCCGCCTCGCCACCCTCCCGTCGGCCCGGTCCCCTGCCCCCTGGCCCTAGTTGCTCCTTTACTGTTTTTCCCCTCTCTTCCGTGCCACCCTGCGATCCCTTTCCCCTCCTACTCCTACTCTCCCTTTCATGTACATGTCCCCGCCTCTCCCATCGCACTTCCTCCCTGCCCCTCTCTCCCCTTTGCCTCCTGCCACCCCCCGCGGCGTCCACTCGGCCCCTGACCAACCGTGGTACCGACTGTCACGCGCTTACGGCGTCTATATTGTTCTGTTCTTCGCACGCCTCTTTTTTTCCTGCAGCACTTCTGCCCTGCCCATAACGTGTCTACCCCTCCTAAGGTGGGCCTTGTGGTAACTCTCCCCCCGGCGCTACGTACCTCTTCTTCCGCTCTTCTCACCGCCCGTCCTCGCCGCCGGCCGCTAGCTGGCCCTCGCACCTGTCTCTTTATTGGCCGTCCCGTGTCACTTTTTCCCCCCGTGCGCCCCCTCGCCTTTCATGGTTGGGCTTTCATTTCTTGCTTTAGATCGCCCCATTACTACTGGCAGCGCCGCGACCAGCCGCCCTTTTGTTCTCGTACCCGTTCCCTTCCTGGTCCCCCTTCTGTCTTTCTTTCCCTCTCTTGCTTTTTTTTCTTTCATATTTTTCCTTCCTTTTCTTTTGTCGGTCTGCTGATGCTTAATGGCGCCATCTCCTTCTTCCCCCCTTTTCCTTGTCTTTCTCCCCACTCTGCGCTGTTGGCGTGTTCTTCCCGCCGCCCCCTGTCGTCCTCCCTCGCCACGCCACCTTTTCCCCCACCCCTCCGTCGGTCGGTGGCGTTCGGCGCCCTCTTTACCCATCCTCACGCTCCCCTCTCCCTTCTTTTCCCTCCCCCATCTCCTGTCCACTCGGCCTGCCCGCATTGCTGCCTCCTTCCGCCCCCGTGTGTTCTCTTTCTTTCCCGTTTGCTCCCCTCTACGCCGCCCCCCCGGCCCTTGTTGATCTCCAGCGTCAGCCTTGTGCCCCCTGACTTACTTCAAGCTTTCCCCCCTACACGTCGTCGTTCTATGTCCCCGTCGCCTCGCACGCCTCTTGGGCCCACCCCTGTCCCGTCGCTCTCTATGGCCGCTTTTCTATTTGTCCGGTTCCCCCCCCTTCTCTTCTCGCCATTCCCTCCCTCCTGAACCCGCCGCCCGCGGTGCCCGCCGTCGCCTTTGGCCGTGTCTCCCACCTCTATACCCCACGCGCGCTTTCTTTCCTGCTCGCCCTCCCGAGTCTTGCTTTCTATTCCGATTGTCATGCCTTGCTCGTGAACCCGCGTTCGTCGCCACCCGCTATTTATCTTTCCTCCTCACAATCATCGCTCGTTTCCTCCGCGCGGCTTTCAGCCTCTGGTCTCCCTCTCTCCCTGTCCTTTGGGCGTACTCCCCCTGCCCACCCTCTGGTTCCTCACCCCTACTCGTGTCCTTTTGTACCTTCCTCGTTTCGTCCTCTCCCCGCTCCTCACTTTCCACTCCTCCTTCTCTGTGTTTTCGTTCGGTCCGACGTCTGGCTGTTTTCAATCGTTGTGCTTGTCCGCCGCCGGTGCTGGTCCTTTTCCACATCTTTTATTTGCACCTCCTCTCTCACCCATATTGGCCAGACCCTGGCTCGCCACCACTCGTACTTTTTTACAACATGTTATTCTGTGATCTTTCTTCCTACTCTGTGCCCACTCCCTAGCCCTCGTCTGTTGTCCGTCCATCTCTTCGCGACTTCTCGTCCCGTGACGCCCGCACCGCGTGGCTCTCCCCCCCTGACCACTCCCTCCCGGGTGTTATCCCTTACCCCCCCTCCTACCCGAACCTCCCCTCCCCCTTTTTTTGCAGCCCCCCTGTCGCCGACTTCCCCTCTTTTCCATGCCCTCCCCATCGTACTGCAAAGTGCTTTCCGGGTATTCCACACTTGCCCCACACTTCCCCGATTCTTTCTTCATCCGGCGGCTTGACCGCAGCTTGACCCGCCGCCCTCGGTTGCCAGGACCCTGTCGTAGTGTCGGTCGGCCCTTACCTTTTTACTTTTTTTTACCTAGTCTTCCCTCCTCTTCTCACCCCTCCCCGTCTTGACCCCATATTGTGCATTCCTTCACCCACTCTTTCGTTGGCCCTATGTGTGCCCTCGCGCCGCGTCTTCGTGTTCCTACTCTCAGTTTAGCCTCTCCTCGCGGCATCCCGATTCTTCCATCTCGATCAACTGACAACCGCGCCATCATGCCCGACTCTTTTCCATTTCCCCCCTTCCGATGACTAGACCCACCACTCAAACCGCTGCGACGGACCGTCATACGCCTGTACAGCTGACCATGCTCCCGGCCACCCTGCGCGTGCCCTCAATGTCCATCTACTGCCGCCGCCTCGCGTTCCAGTAATGTAGGCGCCCTGTCAGGAGCGCGCCCTATCCCACACGCTCAATTCCCACATTAGTTCCTCTCCCAGCTCCACGGACCCCTGGTCCTCCCTTGCCATATCCTGGCCACCTCGTCCATTCCTGGATAGGCGTACCCCACATCCGGTTCTTGGTTTCTGTCTCTCCTTTCTTCTATCTGTGTTACACTCGATGAGCTCCCTGCGCCCTTTATCGGCACTTTTTCTTTCCAGCTCGCAGTTTGTGTCACCACTTGCCTATCTACTATCGCCCCTAAGTAGAATCATAGGTAGCTATTAACCAAGCAAGGGAGGTAATTAAATGGGATGATACTTTACCAGCGAGGATAGGTTAAAACTTTATTCTTCTCGGCGCGTTTTTTAATTGCTTCCATTTGTTTGAAAATTACTTTTGTGTTCCTTATCATGAGTTATTGCGAGGGATTTAAATGGAATAGTTTGGATAATTATGGCGTTTGTCGCCTCAAATCACGTAAGTAACAGGGTGCCCACCCCCAATACTAGAGCTCGGGCCACCCCCACACAGAGAAATCTTGAATTTTATAACTCTTGGCTACGTATTAATTTTAATTTGCTTGTGATGCAGGTAAAAATTTACGTTTTAGTTTTTGTTAAGTTGAGTATTGGTAATTTTGTTGTGCTTCAAAAAAATGTGCTTAATATTATTCATTTTTTATTAATAGAAAATATTGATAGCGATTTAGTGAATGACGGGATCACGAGGTTTTGATAACTAAAGTATATGAAATTTATATGATAGGAATTAATGAGTACGTTTTTAAAAACGAAAGCCCTAGCCCCAGCCGAGCTCAATCCCCGGACTCACCCAAAGCCTACCCCAGGGATAAAATTGCTAGTTAACAGGCAACTAAGCGTATCGCCCTCAGCCATGAATATCTGACGAGCGACAAGGAGAATGTAAAAAACTAATTGACGTCAAAAACTGACGAGACTAAAGAAGACAAGCTTTATTTAATTTGCTCAAAACTTGAAATAGAAACCCCAACGCCCAACCCCAGCACAATGTACTCTTTTTCTAAAGCTACGTAATAAATATACATTGAACAATGATAATAGATCTATCTGAATAATATTTTAAAAAAACTTTTTTTTTTTTTTTTTTTTTTAATATTGTTTTATACAACGACGATAAAATTGCATGTTAATCGTCTACACGGCAATTAAAATATCACAATCAGCGAAGTGATAATAATAATAATTTAAATCTCCTACCGCTTTTCATAAGTTCGTGTCCTGGTAGCCAAAACCAGAGGGACGACAAAAAGCGAAATCCTCCGAAATTTTACCAACCCGCGATTACTAACCACTCTCCTAGCCTATTAACTTTTCTAATTTGATGGCTTGCGCGTCATGCCAGTGCTGCAGCGCCCGTCATTCACAGTGGAGTAGTGGTCAAGGCTTTAGGGAATTTTTACTAACCCAACGCGCGTAAAGAATCAAATAAACTATAAGCCGACCAGTTTAAGCGAAAATCTAACATTTTTGTTGTGTTTTTTTTTAGTCTTTAAGTAATTTTCTATAAAAGGGTAAGGCTATATTCTAAATGCCCAAATTGGCGAGCAGCAAGACACCTTCTGTTTCGGCGGGCGGTATTCTCACATATCATTAGGTTAATATGTAAAGAAAAAAAATAGCTACAATTGGGCAACGTAGTAAAAAAATTCACACGTATAACGAAAATCCAGTATTATTAAAACCTACTAAATAAACTAACCAGCCATGCGATAATTAATCCGACCGAGACACCCTCCTCTAAACAACCCGTAGGTAACTATTACGTTTAAAAGTAACGACAGAAATTTTTGATGCGAAAAGAAGATTAAAAATGTTTAATGATTTTAACAAACAACGGGCGATGTTTAGAAGTAATTAAAACGACGTGGAGAAAAAGCTTCCGGCCGCATTGTTCCCGGTGAGGCACAAAAGAGACCTAGTCGCTCCAGGTAAATTTGGTTTTGGCGTTTACATAACAACAGAAGGGCTTTGGAATCGGTTAGCGGGTTGGTGAATCGAGTTAGGGGCTGTGTAATGGAGTTA